GCCACAACTTTTCAAACTTGATGGAAACTTGGCGACCACATCAGCCTATTCCTTCACTTCCCTGGAATGCATGTCATCTGGCCCCATGGACTTCTATGCAGTTAGCCTTATGAGGTGATTCCTGACTTGCCCTGCTTTTACAGTGGAGGTATTTTGTTCATATGACCTGTGCCAAGAGGCTCAGGAACATAAGAGGCATGAGAAACCTGACTGCCAGTGAAGAGTGAGACAAAGAACTCATTGAATATCTCAGCCTTCTCCATGTCTGTTGTTGCCAGTTCTCCCTTCTCATTTATAAATGGAGTACACTCCCTTGTCTCTTCTGACCAATGCTTGGTTTCTTATGCGGAGGGATGGAGAGCTTTTGTGCTATCAGAAAGGTGTCATTAAAGGGTGTGGAGATACTTAGCTGGGCTGTCAGCTGTATTACATTCTTGGAGAAGCCCTCCCAATTTTCCCTGGCACAAATCTGAGTTTTTTTTCCTGCTGCTTCCTTAAGTGAAAGTGTTCTTTAGCTCTTCTCTTTCACTCAGAAGCATGTCTCCTTCCCTCATCAAATCTAGCTTAAAACTTGTGATGAGCCCAGCCAGCTTGCTGCTTATTATGTTCTTGTCCCTTCTGGTCAGTAGCACCTCATCTGTGTATGTCATAAAATATCAAATTAAGTCATTCTTTGACATCTCCATTGTCTCAGAATCTTCTCCTAGGCCTGTTATTAAATTTCTTCTTTGTATTTTTTTCCAGGAGAAGGTCAACACTACACAGTCACTTTAATTAGTTTTTATTAGTGATCTAACTGCATTATGAAATCACTTGCTATAAATCCTCATCAGATCAGTGCTATGAAATATACTCATAGATGGGCCTTAAAAATAATTCTTGAACTATACAAAATGCAGAAAGTAAAAAGTGGGCATAGCATCTCTTAATGCCAGATTTTTGCACAGTCATCCATTCTACTGAGTCTCTTCTAAGAGTGCCCAGAGAATCATTTGAATTTTTCAGTTAAAAATGACAATCTCTTCACATTGGAGGGGAGGGATGGATTGCTCATGTAAATGAAGCTACAGAACAGCATACTTATTAGCTGAAGGTACATTTGTTATCTGACACTGCAGAATGAATAGCTGGCATACTAATTAGAACATCTCACTAATCTTTGCTTTTATGGCCAAAATGAAGCCAATAGGGAAACTAGATTAGTAAGTTTTTACTTACTATTACTTAGTTTTAAATGAGAAAAGTATAATGGCTTGTTTCATGCATCATTCTGTAGGCTACCCTTGTTATTGTGTACTTAACTAATACCCAGTATGGGCAGAGAAAATGGACAGCTGGAATAGGGTATAAATATAAAAATGTATTATTCCCCCAGAGAAAAGGATAAAGATGCCAATGAGGACTCTGAATAAGAGATCTATCTGACAAAGGGGCTAAGGCAGATAGAGCAGATGTCACTAGAAAAGTGCCATGAGTTACTAACAGTAATTTCAATATAAGAAGAAGAAATGAAAAAGTAAGATCCCACAACCCACTGCATAACTCAAGTACAAACTCAACTACTACTCAATTTATCTCTCAGACATAGATCTCACTGTGCTTAGTAACTGTCCTGGATACTTAACAGATGCTTAGAATTTTATTCTTGCATAAGACAAGGTGATAAGACAAGATCCATCTACCAAAAAACCTCTTAGTATTCTGTTAATGTGATTCCAGAGTAAGAAAACAATTAAATGTGAGCAATTACTAGAGTTGATCAACATAGCATATCAGCCTGGGATTCTAATAGAGAGAGAGAAGACTTGGGAGAAGGAAGTAAATAAGCTAATTTTTTTGTGTACTAAGTAGACAGAGAAGAGCAGGGGAGGGGACATTATTGATAAAGATTTAAAGTCATACTTTGTTTTAGCACAAGGTTAGTATATTCACTAGAAGCAATGAAGTCGGTAGCTTGGATTCATACTGATGAGACTGAGCAAATGATTCAGGCTCCAGAGTTCAACATTATGTGGATTTAGAAATACAGCATAAAAACAGAAGGACTACTTTATAGAAAATATCGAAGTTCATGCATCAAAATTTGTACAAGTCTTAGGCTGTGTTTGTCAACAGTAAGAATCCTATAATTCCCTCTGAAAGAAAAAATAAAATTGTTTTTCTTAATGGGAAAAAACTGCAGACATTTTCAGGCATCTCTTAAAACTGTCACTACCAAAAACGCCTCCTAGAATGATTTTCATTTAATTAAAAATCAGTTCTACTGTTATGCTGCCTTTAGGTATATGAATATCAATTCAACCATTTGTCTCTGAGAAGAACTCAGATCCTTAATTCCAAGTATCACAACACACATTTGATTCTGGTTTATCATATTCCCAGATAAAACTGTAAACACATGATTGGTTGAAACTGCATCAATTTGGAAACTCTGTTTATGAGACATTCTGTATAATTTATAAGTTATAGTATTAAAATGAGAGCAGTTTCCTAGAGTGTCAGACTTAACTGCTATGATGTGTTTTAGAATGAATAATGTACCAAGCATACCTGTGTCTCACGTTTGTCTCACCTTTGTTTGCACAGCAATGAATGCTGGTGAACACTTCTATCAGTAAAAAGCTATTACACTGTCCAGGCTATAAAATGTAATTCTTTATGAACAGCTGTAAATAGATCAATAAATAATAATGAAAAAGAGGCTAACCAAGTCAAATAAGTATTCTAGCTGTCTTCTGGTTAAAGTTTTACAAAAGCATAATGAGAAATAAATCCATTCCCTTCCATTTATGTAGCCTCAATGAGAAGCAGCAGCTAAATACCAACTGCTCAACAGGAGGGGAATAACTCTGTGGGATGCATAATGTAGCTGGCAGGGAAATGTGTATTTGTTGAACAAGTGTCAAGAAAAGAACATAGAACCATAGAATTATGGTTATAATAGATAACCATATAGCAATGATAGAATTATTATCAATATTAGAATTATTACCATATAGCAATAATAGAATTATTGCTCAGGTTGGAACAGACAGATATTAATTTCAGCTGGATGTTTCACATTTCTTCTTTGTTTTATCCATCTGACAAAACAAAAATTGATGTAATGAAAATAAGTATTTGAGTTACTATTTGGTCTAGGAATAAAAATAATATTAACTAAATGTAACTCAAATGTTTTACTTTTTGCATGTCTACTTGGTGCAATTGCAATCTTACAAAAAACAATCTTACTACAAACAGTAAAATTATTCCAAATTTTCAATAGAATACCCCAAAACTTAGAGCTTGTCAGTATAAGAAAAAGCAAACTTTACATTTCTATTACCAACAGAGAGCTGTAATTCACTAACTTGCTTCCAAAGGTCTCTATGGGTACTGCTATTCTCAATTATAAGCACTTTTGAAGTGTAGAACAAACAAAGGAACACTTTGCTCCTCAGTATTAACAATCTGAATAATCCCGAGATCACTTTATTGCACTCTATGGGAGCATATTGCATTGCTTTCTGAACCGGAGAACAGCCATATGACTATGTTTGATACCTAAAAACTTTCATTTCCATGCTTGTAGACTGACCTGATTATCTCTAATCTATTGCTAAAAGTTTTCGGGAGATACCTTTCAATTTCTCTTAAAGTAGCTTCTGTAGGAATTCTGATTGTTGACTCGGTTTATAAAAAAGTCCTTCCTAAAACACAACTGTGTTGGTAGGTAATGCTATTTGCAGGAACAACAATAAAATTGCAAGAAGACAACAGCGATTAACTTTATATGTTGTACACAAGGAATCAGTAATTCATTAGTTTAAAAATCAAAACCAAAACAAACAAACAAAAAAAACCAACATCATAACCTTTCTAAATATAGCCCTTCCTGCTCTCATCCACTTTCTTATATTTACGCAGTATTATTATTAAATTTTTTAGCCTCATTCAGGAACTGACTCAACAGTTCCAGTGATATACAGATGCTAGAAATCTCTCTACATAAAACCTTTTCCTGATTTAAATCAGAGCTACTGAACAGTTATTTATTCATTACCACATGCAGAATTCCACAAGTATATTTGAGTTTTAGAAGATCCTCTTTTCTCTGATCCTGTTTTCTATACTAGCAGGTGACAAGAGTACTACATGCAAAATGTTGGTCAGGAAGGCGTTTTATGGAGTTCCCCTGTACTGCACCTTCATCCATGCCAGGATGTCTGTGTCAAAGTCACTTGCTGCCATACAACTGGATTGTCTACTAAAAGAAACCAGAGAAGGGTAGGCAAATCTCCAAGGTCACTCCTGAGTCTCATTAGAATATTTAATCAAAGCACAACTGGTGGCTTTTTTACTGGGATTGAAGACTTCTGATTGTTTTCAAGTTTACCGGTTACCTAATGCATCAGAGCTTTATCTTCCCTTTCTAAACTATTAAAAGATTCCTTTTCTGTTCTTTACATAGATACCAGTATATCAACGTATGACTGAGATGCAAAGTAACTATGCAGCACCAAAGTCTGTCCTTGGTTGTGCAGGCCAGAAAGAAATCATACATCCAAGACAAAAATCAAAAGAAAATGCTAGTCAAGCCAGTGTCTCATCTCCACAGAGTCTTTTTGATGAATACTCAGGAACCAACATTACTCAGCAACAAAACTCTTACTTTTTAGTCTGTCTTCTATTTTGAATGTGAAATCATCCCTTGCATTTTAATGACACATCATAATTTCAAATACTATTCAAAAATGCATTCCTCTTTAGTGGTGGAATACTACGAATGACGAGTACTCTGAAAGTAATGCCTCTTATTTTATTATGTTGGTCCATGACATCAGAGGTAGATGTTGGGGGTATGGCAGTAGAGGTTGAACCTTCTTGCCAATATTCCATTACATTTTATTGCTGTGTGACAGATGGCAGCAGAGGGACAAAACAGAGTCATGGAAGTGTGTATGAAGAGGAAGTATGTCACTGAGTTCCTCCATGCAGAAGAAATTATACCCACTGACATTCACTGGTGCTTGCTGAACATTTATAGAGACCAAACAGTGGATTTCAGCACAGTGAGGTGGTGAGTGGTATGTTTCAACAGTGGTGAGAGTGACTGAGAGACAAGTAATGTTCTGGAAGGCCATGTACACCTGTCACACTACAAAATTAAGAGCATTTCAATGAGCTCATCTGCTCAAATCGGCAGGTTATGACCAGAGAACTCTGTAAGGAGCTGAATATCAGCTTGACTGTGTTGGGATATTCCAGTTTGCATCAGCTGGGTGCCACAAATCCTTACACAAGATCAGAAAGAACATTGTATGTGACTTTTTCAGGACCTGTTGAACAGTCATGGTGTTGAAGGTGAGTGACAGTTTCTTGAAACACATCTTTACTGATGATGTGACATAGTGTCACCAGTGTGAGCTGGAGTCAAAACTGTAGTTCATGGCATCTGTGGAGTGCTGACATGTGGATTCCCCACCAAGAAAAAAGTTCAAGACACAGACCTCAGGGAAAAGTGATATTCACTGTCTTTTGGAATAGGAAAGGGGCGTTCCTTCTGGATTTCCTGGAACCCAGATGAATCAACATCTCTGTTTTCTACTTTGCAGTTCTGGCTAAGCTGCAGGCTTGAGTGTCCAGAGTCAGGCCAGAGAAAAATACAACCTGCCTTTTGTAATATTCTCCTAGCAACCATGCCAGCATAGCAGCTGTGAAAGGGTGAGTCACCTCTGTTGGTGCACATTTCAACAAGTGTGGCATGCAAGCTCTTATTACTGGTAAAAAGGTAATAGCTAATGATAGTGACCGTGTTGAAAAAATTTACAGTTTTGTAGCTAAGAATTTGTTCTTCCAAATAGTGTTATTGTTCTCTTTGAAGCACAAAAAATTTTAGCTTTCATGGAAATAAATAGAAGGCATTAATTTTGGAGCAACCTGTGCATAATTAATCTCCTAAAATGACAGAGTAAATCCATGATTCAGCAAATTATCTGCATATGTTTTTGATATGTCTTTGCAATCAAAATTTTCAGCTAAGAATCCCAGACTAATAGACAGGTAGACATTCTCTTGAGTTGAGCAGCATCATGAGTGTTAGCCAACTAACATGCTAAACATTTCTCTGTCTGTGGCATAAACTGAGAAGTGAAAGATTTTACCATACTGTATGGGAACTGCTGAGTCATGGCCTGAACCACTGATTGATCACCTGAGGAAAGGACTGAGACAGCCATGGGAGCACAGGTGAAGGAGATTCGCCTGTGTGACAGGAAGGGGTGTAGCCTGGCTGCACCTCTCCTAGACCCCACTTAAGGGTTGACTGCCACTGGGGGAGGGTCTCTTTTTGGAGATCCCTTGTCTGTGGAGTCTTTCCTGAAAACGTAGATCTTTGGATATGGGTGAGCATTCCTTTTCTGTTTCTTTCTTTTCCCATTTTCACCAAGATAATCTTTCCAGCTGTAACACTATACAGAATGTTTCCAAATATGTCAATAAAAATGGAGTTTTCCAGATGGCTAGGTGTCAGGTGTAAATGGCCATTTAAAATTGAGTTGCTATTAATGGAAATATCTTTCACTGTTTATGGTAATTGGGTCTTGTCTTAAAAGTAAGGCTGTAACAATTCAGTGTGACGTTGTGATTCTGATGAATGTTATTGAATTTAACTAATAAAATATAAAATGAAGGTATCAATTGCAAATAAAAGTTCTCTCTGGTCTAGGGGGCTATTTCTCTTTAAGATCATCTATTTGTATGGGTAGTACTCTTTTGTTTTCGATATGATTAAGTATATCATAATACTATTAATGCAATTTTAACAATAATTTTCCATGAGAATGTTGAGATCATGTTATGCAAGGATTTTCGTATCTTGTTTTGTTATTACAGTAAACTTCTTATATCCATCAATATAAATATTTGCAGTTGCCACAAAATGCAGAGACTGCAAAAATTTGGTTTTAAGTGCTGCATTTGCCTTTGCAAAAATAGATTATGTTATTATACTTCAGATTGCTCCCTTGATTAAAAAATTAGCACGAATTTTTGGGATTGTTTTGTAACGTAAGTTGTAGAAGTTGTTAAAAATCTTCAAGATTTGGGAAGTGTCAAGTCTTATGTACTTTTTATTTCTTAGTGCAACATTTTTAGCTTTTTTCTAAGTTGTATATCTAGGAAAGATGCAAGGAAGTCGTTAAAAATTGCTAGAAGCAATTGTAGAAGTGAGAGAACTGGCAAAAGTACTTCAAATAATTCAACATGCTACTGAAGTTCTCAGAACTGCAGTGGTGGATGGTAATTGTGCCAATTGATAAAATAATAATTTTTCAATGAAGTCTGATTCTTATAGAAACCATTTTGCACTTTTCCTTTTTGTAGAATGACCCTTGTTGGTTCCCCTTTAGAAACATTTAGCTTACATCACATAAGATCAGATTAATATCTTCTGCTTGCAGAGAACAGTTTAAAAAATAGTTGTTGTAATATCAATCTCTCAGAATATTGGTTGCTAAGAACAGAAATTTGAAGACTAACTTCAAAGGTCAGTGTCTTATTTGGGTTACCTCCTGGACTGTATTTAAAGACCACACAAACACCGCCTGCTCTAATCTTCCTTTCTGTTGCTCTCAGATCTGCAGATACAAAGGAAACCTTCAAGTCACCAACATAACACTGAAGTAAATTTAAACACCATCAGACGATCAATCTACAGTTTGAGTTTTCTTGAGGAAACCTACTTATAAGCTTATTTTTCAGATGAAGAATTGGAAGTCCAAGAGAAGTAGATAAAGTTTATTAGGCATGCTACCTTCATACATTATTTATCTGGACACATTTTCACATACAGGAAACCATGTGTAGGTTCAGATGATGATCCTGGGCAGTGGGAACTTTAGCACAACAGTACAGTATTTCAGAGCAAAGTATCTGTAAATAGTATGGGTTTGTATCTGTTGGCTCTAGTACTTTGCATCATAGAAGAAAGGAAAAGTAAGAAAAGTGGTAAAATATATTTTGAGGAGGGATGTTGTTCCTTTTCTAAGTGATTTTTTTTTTTTTATAAACCTGTTTTGAAGTGATAATAATAGTTAAATATTAGCACGAACAGAGTTAATGGTCAGTGGTTACAAGTATAATTCATCTAGAAGTTTTTCCTTGCCTTTCAATGTGTGACTCCTTTAAATGACTCCTTAGTGCTTGAAGAATCCACTTTCCTTTATCTCTTGGAACATATTTTTTTGTTCATTAAAATTAGTCATGAACGTCTCTAGGCCATCAGTGATACAAGACCTATGGTCTGTTGCTGAAGAATTACTCTTCTATCTTATGAAGAGTGAATTCACAAATATTTTCAGTACACTCACTTTTAGAGCTGGATGATAAGGCATAAAGACTTGAACAAAACTGATGTAAATTAAAACTCAAATGGAAACTACTATCTCTTATCTCAACTACAAGTGACTGCTGTCTAATAGGAGAAGATACATAGTTCTAAGTTTATTTTTAAATGCCTCCTTATAAAGAGAAGAAAAAAGTGAGACTAGATGACAGAGTTGATATAGGAATCTTAAAGAAATACTTTATTTGGTAAATAAAACATGCAGTGATATGGAGCAGTCTGTTGAACAGGAAATGCTGTAAAGTATATGATCAAAGAACCACTGTATGCATCAAATGTTACATCAAACAGCATGATGTTAGAAACATTAGATGCACTGTGTCCCAAAGGCAGGTGTCACTACCATATGCAAAAGATGCTTCCCATTATGTAGAAGAGAAGAGAAACACAAATGAGAAGACTTGGTTGGAATAATGCCACTGACTATTAAAGATGCTCATGTTATGAATTTGGGCCCTGGAGATCTATCTAGGTCATATCTGAAAAAAAAAAAAAAAGTGTTAAATATTTCTAAAAATAGTGTAGGTACTTAGAAAATGAGGGCTGGCTCCTTAGCTCCTTAGGTGAGAGTAGTTGAACATTAAAACAACAGAAACTGGAGGAAAAAGAAATCAATAAAGCCTCATATGAAAGAGAATTAAAAAAATAAATTGATAGGTTGTATTTATCTGCAGTACCTGATGTAAAATTTTATACTTGCACTGATATTTTTTTCTAAACTACTCTGCTAAGAGCATTCTCTAGACAGGCCATCAAAGCTACACACTGATTTAAGAAAAAAGCCTCTCTGTTTTTGTCTTTTTTTTTTTTTTTTTTTTTTTTTTTTAAAACATTTTTTGTCTGGAAAAAGGGGTTTTTTTTTTTTTTTTTTTTTTTTTTTTTTTTTTATTATGATGATGTCTACTGAAAGACCAGGGCATTGCCTGTCCCATCAACAGAGATATTGCCAAAGAGTCTGGTACCCCGAAGCTGCTCTGCATGCTTCTGTGGGATACACAACACCCTATTTGATGGTGTTGGCAGCGCCAATTTGAGAGGTGTGTGGCAGCAGGAAAACTGCCTTTTCTTCTCCAGGTTTCCCATAGCCAGAAGCCACCCATAGATGTCTTGCAGCAGAAAGCTCTGTCCCAGGAGCAGCAGATGCTTGCTGCGAGGGCAGTGGTGAGCAGGTGTATGTGCTTGCAATGGGGTTAATGAGCTCAGTGAGGTGGCATGGGGGGCATCTGGGCAGACCAGCAGTCCCTGGTGGGAGGTAGAGTGGCAGATAGTTGAGTACAGCTGGGTTTGGTGGGAATGTTGCACAGGTCAGGTTACAGCATAGTCTAAGAGAAGGACTCCGCAGGCTGCTCAGAGAGGTGGTGGAGTTTCCTTTTCTGGAAAAGATCTTGGATGCCTTCCAACACAACCTACTTTAGAGAACCTGCTTCAGTGGGGGTTTGGTCTTGATCCCCAGAGGTTCCTTCCAACACCTATGATTCCGTGACTCTCTGAGAAGGCATTTGATTAGACTTTGCAAGTCACTTCAGTCCCCTTCTGGTATAATTACTTGCTCTTTTTCAAGATAAATGACAAATGTGTTTAAAAGACTACCAGCTCAGCTGCAAGTTTTGAACTGTTTAGTTAGAGTAAATTATAGTATAAAGCAAAAGATGATGATTAGATTGTTCTATATGAAATTATAGTGCAGTAACTAACATTGGCTTTGTCATGCTGTTGTGATAAAAATTGTTTAAGAATGTTTTTCCAATTGTACAAAGTATTTTGCTTCCCTTCTGGAATTCAAAGAAAAGGAAAGAAATATTGTGAATGGGAAAAGTTACCTTTTGGCAGTAATATACAACAATCTTTCTTCTGAAAAAAGAAAAAGTGGAAAAAAGCTCCTCCATCTAGTAAGATCCCAAAGACCATTCCTAAATTTCAGGAATAATTTGTATGTTATTTACTATGACTTTAAAATTCTTAATTTTAACTTAAAATTAAGTGTCTATCTTGCTCAACCATATTCTACAGGTAATTGAGATTTTTCAAAGAACTGTTAACGTGTATTACTTTCAAAGTATTTTTCTCTCTCCTCATGAGAAAACAATTTAGTGTTTTAAAATATTGAATATTTAAGCATATTCAGGATCTAAAGCCTAAATTTCTTTCTCTGTCCAGTATTATAAACAGTACTCTGTTTATGCTTTTTGACTCTTACTGGAATGTGCCTAATATTGTAAGGCATATGTAAGAAAAGTTTATTCCTACTGGCTCTTTAAAATACTGAAATTATTTTTGTAAATATAATGCAGATAAGTGATACATAATTTCACTTGGCAGTAGTGGTTCAGGTATTGCCATGTTCACTAACAATGTCTGTGCCATATTTTCACCAATATTTTCTGTGATTATTTGATAGTCTCTCTGTGTGAATGTGTTGCTTCTAGATTTTTTGACAAGATCCTTGTTGGGAGGCCACTGGGCTAAGGTTCTGGAGATGGTGACATCTTTGGCATGATGGGCCTCAGGAGAAATTTTTGGGCAAAAACTGAGGGATAGATTATTTTTCACTTATTTATGAGGTGAATGCTGAAAAACTGAGTTGGGGAACGTGCATAGGAGTACTACATAGGACAGAATAAATTGGGAAGAGTCAATAGTAAGTTATTTCATTAGATAAACAAATCTTGATACTTTTCAGGATAAATCTGCTCCATTTGTGCCTGTTCATGAAAAATAGTGGGAAGAAGAGCTTAGAAATGATAATTTTAGGGCAGGGTGACCTTTCTAGACTTCTAGTCTCAATGAAAAAGCTTTTTTTTGTTTGTTTGTTTGTTTGTTTCCTGAGTCATACCATCTGAGTTTGGGTCTGCCGACTAGGCAGAAGTTGAACTCTGCATGTAGCCTGCAGCCTAAAGATACATCTGCAAGCTAAAGTTCTTCTTTATAAGTATGTATTTCAGTGTTTGTGTTAGTGTTAGTGTTGCATTTCCACATAGCTCCATTGTCAGAATGATGGACAGAAACAAGATTTAGTCTGTGCCAGAGTCTTTATAGTAATTCTGAAGCTGTAATGAAGTTCTAACACTGCTGATGAACTTTATGCCGTGTATGTTGGACAACAAAACCATGATCTGTGTCCTCCTTAGGTAATGCCAGCTAATCAAGCTGAAAAATGTGTCTGAATAGGTTGTACATTTATTTGGCTATAGGGCTGAATTTAACCTGAGAAAGAATATGTAAAAGGAGGATGTCTTCTACTGGAGTTTATTTGGATGGGAAAGCTCAGGAAATTCTTGCTTATCAGAATGTACTGTTAGCTTCTGAACAACACTAAAAACAGAACAAAAGAATCCATTAAATGTTTTGGGTCTCTCCCTCTTTCTCCCATTTTTTAAAGCAGGATGCAGTTAATCTTCTAAAGTGTATTTCAAATGAAAGCTAATGTAGCAAAATGCATTACCCTAATCAAGGAAATGATAATATTCTGCAAGTGTAACAGAGTACTGGGGGGAAAAAAATCTTAATTTGTTTTTTGTCAATAGCTTTAGGAAGTGCAGTTGAACAATTAAAGTAATCTCTGTTGTCTGACTTATCTCCTGCAATTAAAAATTTTCTTGATTAGTGCAGTTCAATTGTCTTAATAGAGGTGACAGCCCATTAAATATAAAAATTGATTAGGTGAAACAGTATTTTTGGTTAAGATTTGCCCTGCATGATCTGGTGTCTGATCTTCATTCACATCTTATGTGACCTGAATTGTATGAGATCTGAAAAAGAATAAACTTGCTGGTCACTATTTTTATTTTGTAGACAAGTGCTTGTGATGTTAAAGTCACTCTACAATTTAAGTAGGAGGAAACATTAAGGGAAATTGCCTTCCTCCTCCTTGAATCTGCATCTTAACTTCATGTTTTTGTTTTTTAGTATTTCTAATATGGGAGATGTAAAAAAGCTATTCATTTTTCTGTTTCTTTGTGCCACAAAGTTATTCCGTGATATTATTCATCTGTCTTTTCTAGGCTGAAAAGTCCCACTTTGTTTCATTGTTACTATAATAGGAAGCATTTCATGACTATAATATCTGTTACTCATTCTGTAACTCTTCCAGTACTTTCTGACAGCGAGGGGAATCAGAACAGCAGGCCATGCTCATATATATCTGTGCATGGATTCATTTATGTTGTTCTCAAAAGAAAATAGACCAAATAAATGAATCCCAAAACTCTATTAAAAAGAAAAATATTTCCCACAAAATGTCTCAGATATGATACACTAGACAGTATTTGAAAACATAGTAGTTTTCTCAAGCCCTCCTTTGAGTGAGACTTCAAAGAGATCTTCAGGCTCCAGAGATGTCAGTTATTATCATGCAGGTGTATTCAGTTTACTTGCTATCCTTCTGCTCTTTTGTGGTCTGCTGGAATTTTAGTAAAGAACATGTGAACTTGTCTTTAGTTTAGAAAAAGAATGTTATTCTTGACCAGCTCCCAAAATATTTTTAAGTAGTTCTTTCTGCATGTTAATTCTATTACTGCTGGTCTAACTGGAAACTTGAATATGTTTCACTTTTTACAGAAATAGGTTTTGCTGTTATTTTACAACAGTCATTAATGAATGTATTTTTGATATCTGAAGATATAAATTATATTCTTTCTCTTTTCTGTTTAGAAAATAGTTCAGCTGCTGACCAGCAAAGTGAGGGAGGGAATTGTCCACTTCTACTCTGACCTTACAAGGCCCCATCTGGAGTACTATGTCCAGACCTGAGGTCCCAGCACAAGGAAGATGTGGAGCTTTTGGAGAGAGTCCAGAGGAAGGCCACAAGGATGATCAGAGGTCTGGAGCATCTCTTGTACTGAGACAGGTTGAGGGAGTTTGGCTTTTTCAGACTGGAAAAGAGAAGTTTCTCTAAGACCTCACTACAGCCTTCCAATATTTAAAGAGATTGTGGATGCCCTGTTCCTAGGCATGTTCCAGGCCAGGATGGATGGGGATGTGGGCAGCCTGATCTTGTGCTTCATCTAGTGGTTGGCAATTCTGCTCATAACAAGGTTGAAAATAGTTGGAGGAGACCTCAAAGATCACCTCAAGACATTCTGCAATTCTTAAAATGTCTTGGTTTCTTTTGTAATATCAGTGTGTTGAAAATAATACCTCCTAAGACATTAATACTTCTGCCTCCAAAAAGTGCGTACAACTTCACTCCAACTTTAGAAAAGGATGAATTACACTTTCTTTTTAAACATTAGAAATTCATTTGGCAACTACAGCATTGTCGAAGCAAATTGATTTATAAGATGCCAAGATCTCAACCATTTTCTATATAACTGAACAGTGAAATAAAGGCCTGGGGAAGTAGTGATGATGTCCAAAAGAGACTTTTCCTGCAAGTGATAGATAGACCACTGGTTTTATGGAAGAGTGAGGTGGTGATAATACTTTCTTCTTGCATATTACAAGCCCTTGTTTAACCATAATTTGCAACATTCCACTTTCATAAGCTAGAAAGTTGTCTTACAGGACATGTTGAAGGACTTTGGCCTTCAAGCAGTTAAAGGAGAGGAACACAGCTAACCTGTTGTTTAAAGGGTGTCTTCAAGATAACACTGTTGTATATGCAAATACAGACCTTTTGCTACTATGGTAGTGTATTTGTCTTACTTTTAATGTGTCTTAGATGACTAAAATTTCCCCAGATGTTTATTCTCATTTACAGGCAGCAATAGAATTCATTGTAGTGAGATTGTCTGAGACAAGTTGAAGAGACTATACTTCATGAAAGAAACAAATACATCTTTCTAGGCTTCAGTATGTGCCTCTTACTGAGGAGATGATTCAGGTAAAGACATCAGCCTAAAGCAGATCATTGAAACCAGATTTTAAACGCCCTGAGGTCAATGGTTGTTGAATTCATATTCAGTTTGATGTTTGCCTCACTGATTTCTTATTGATGTTTTTTAAAAGCCAGTGTGTTTGTATTGTAGTTTGTTATAAATAAAATAAAAAAAAAATATTTATTCTGTGATTAAAATACAAGTTAAATAGTGATGTGTCTTCCTAAGAATTTTTGTTACTTATTTTGTTGAATTCATAAAATCACTTGCATGTGTTTTAGTTAAATGTATTATCAACCAGCTAGCTTTTATGCTGGTGGAAATTAATAATTACTATTACAAAGTACTATAACTACTATGACTAATTAAATGAGCACCCAACTCAGATTGAATCTCCTAAGGTTTTGTGTATAAGCTAGTCTTGCCTGGGTTCATAACAACCTAAGAATTTTCTACCTTATTAATATTATACTACCTTATTTACATAGAAACTGTATTTTTTATTTTTTTTTATAAATACCTGTTTTTACCTTGTAAAAGGGGCTCAACCATTAGGAGAGATAAGAGGCAATATGAAATGTACAACAGGACTTTCATCTTTAGTATGTACTTGTTTCCAGTTTTTTGGAACTGAAAGGTTCTGTTTTTAAACTTTGAAGCAAGATGAATATTTAAAGCCCAATCTGCAGGGCCAATTTTGTGTTTAGTGGGAAGTTTGAGAAGAATTGTGATTCTTATAGCTCTCCTGAGCTCCAAGAGAAATTCTCCCCTCTTCATTTTCCCCTGACTTTCATAAATAAACTGAACCTAATTGATCACAGTGAATGTGTGGGATGAAGCATTGTTCAAAGGAGCCTGTCCTCTTGCTGCTCCCCGGCTGCCTTTATTTTGTCAGAGGCAATGAACGGTAAATCTTCACATATAAGGCTGTCTTCTAAGTACTGTGTGTTTGAGTCCCATAGACAAGCACAACATCTATCGTTATCTAGCTTCAACTTCACAACCTCTAGGATGGTTTAAGGCAGAAGTCTGACATTTGTGAAGTCTTTATACTTTTTTTGAAGACTTCTGAAATAGGAAAAGATGAAAGTAGTTCTGTTGAAGCCATTGTATTTTGCCAAATCCCCAGTGCCTGGTTCTCTTTAACAGCATCTACCTTTCTTAAGTACTGCTGTTTTTTCATGTGGAAGAAAAGCCTGCTTTGCAGTCTGACTTGTACTGAAAAATGTGATGCAACAAAGTGTTCTTTATGTGGGAAAGAAAACACCTAGACTTTTACCTTAAAATATGTGTGCATTTCTTTACCTACTACTGCAAGTGCAGAGTACTACACTTGGGTCAGGGCAATCCCACACGTGTATATACTGGGAGAAGAACTCTTTTAGAGTAACCCTGCTGAGAAGGGATGCCGGTAGATTAAAAAAAAAAACAAAACAAAACTTAACATGAGACTTCAATGTGCACTTGCTGTCCAGAAGGCTAACTGTATCATGGGCTGCATCAGAATAAGGGCGACCAGCAGTGAGAGAAAGGGCTGAGGGAGTTGGGCTTGTTCCTTCTGGGAAAGAGAAGATCTTCCATTACAGCCTTCCAAGTCCCATCCAACTCAAGACATTTGATGATTCTGCATTGAGAATATTTTAAACATGGCTAAAGGAAAATGCTTTGGTTAATGATTCACAAATTTCCCATGCTTCTGTGGATATATAACCTTGTTTCAGCTGGGGCAGAGTTTATTTTCTTCACTTTGTCTGGTATGATGCTTTCTTCTCGCTTTATTTTGACTTCCAGAGAAAAATAAAGAAAAAAGTGTATGTTATAATGTATGCGGTGTGTGTGAAAGGTTGTGTGGTGTTTAGCTGCTTGCCAGGTTAAACTACAAATTCATAGAGTTGTTATAAAGTCATCATTATCAATGAGACCCTAGAGTTTTCTATATGTGATGTTGGCATCTTGTTTTATTTCTATTGCTGCACTAAGGATGCAATATTATTACAAACTCATCAATCTAACTCATTCTTCAGCTCTATATTAAATATGTGATTGTTAAAAACGGTATTGAATAGGAGTGCTTACTTTAGGTGAATAGTAAGAACCATACCTGAAGAATAGAAGTGTTCAGAACAGAATTCTGGAATAAAATGTCTCCTCTGATTGCCCCAGAAAATTTTAGAGCTTTTATGAAATCCTGTACTTAGAATTTCAGCTTAGTACTGTATAAAGTTTAGGAAGTTCAAATGAGATAAAACATGTTGGATATAGAATAAAAAATGTTGGAATGCTGAAGGCATTAAGCCAAGCCTGAATAATTGAAAAATTTGACCCCTGAACATATCAGAGATGAAACTGAGCTCTGAATTTTGTAAGAAACCTTTTAAAAAGAACTACTGTTATCTACTGATTGTTGTCATTATTTGTTTCCAGATGCTCGTGTGAAGGAGTGTGAGCTGGTTTCCGTGGGAGACATTTCTGGAAAATTAAGAGAGAGGCTGATGAAATTCAACTGCAGAAATTTTTTCCAGGGAGAAGGTTGAATTGATATTAGGAAATCTGAAAATTGGATGGTCTTTATGATTTTGATTTGTTTGTTATTCTCACAACTGAAAATAACTCGTCTAAGTTGCAAACAGAACATGCACTATCTGTTTATTTCTGTGAACAAACAAAAAACCCGTGTTTTCAATTGTTACTCTTCTTTGGCATGTAAAGATATTCTTCCTGATTCTGTAGAAATATTGTATAGCACAAAAATGATGTTTCATTTGTGAAAAATTTCAACAAAATTTGCCCACCTGTGTGACGTATTGGAGGGTACCTGCATTAGCAAGGGTTAGACTCTGTGATTTCTTGAGGTCCCTTCCAACACCTGTGGTTCTGTTATTCTGTATTTCTAGTGTTTTTTTTTTTTTAATACCTTTTTTTTTTTGGCTAAAAAAAGGCATCTTATGGATTGTTATTACAGTCTTTTCCTAAAAAAGTAAAACACTAATTTTGAAAAATATCTTTAAACTGTCTCAAATTAAATGCAATTTTCAGTATGATGGAGTAAGTGAAAAGAATAGTAAAATACTTTAATTTTCCAGTGAATAGCAGTTTCTGATTTGGAAGTGCTTATTTATTCAAGAGGTTGGAATGGGACATTACCATTTAGATGTTAATGTAAGAAATACTATCAATGTCCAGAAAAGCCAATTGTGTTGCATTATTATTTACTTAAATTTTAATCAGTCATGTTCAAATTCTGGAGATTATTCAGTAATATTTTTATTCAGTGCAGTAAGTTTGAAACTCCAAGCTTTATGCATTTAGTGTATGTATGGGTTCAAAATATTCTAAAAATATTTCAGACAGAAGTAAAAAATACTTTATTTTCAGACTTTTAAATGAATCATCTACAAAAGCCATCCACCATTTTATACAAAATGTTACTTTCCATTTCTGATGTCCTGCAAAAGAAGGGTGTCTGAATTGATTTTGTTAAAGGGATAGCACTGCATGTTGCAATTTGCAACTGCACTTAGAGATGTGTGGTTATTAAAGTCTGGCTTCAAATGTATCTGTTAGAAATGTTCATAGATATAGTGAAGGTTACTAAAACTACATTAAAAAAGAAATCAGATATACATTTTTATACACTCACCTAGCATATATATATGTATTTACACATGTGCACACATGCTTATGCTTGCACATATTTGCATACATGTGGCCACATTCAAATTTATGCATCTGTGTGCATACATACCTATACACATGCAGTTACACACACACAGAAATGTATTTATTCTCATTTCTGCACACACATCTGTATATCTATATCTGGGTAGATGTCTTTCCATGCACACACAAATTTACTCCTCAGCATGGGTGGGTACTTTGTTAATATGACAATAGTATCTTAAAGAGGCAAATATAATGATGAAATATTACAGCAAATTCTTTGTAAGCATAAAAAGAAGCAAGGAAGAAATAAAAAATATACTTATTGGGTAGCTTCATAAATAAACAAGGAATTTGGACACACAGGAATTGTTTAACTGGAGTATTAACATCTAGCATAAATACATAGAGAGAAGAAAATAGTAGAGAGCATTAAAAGACTCTTTACGCTCCAAGAAATGTGGAAAGATATTCAGTGCAACACAGACAATACAAGGTGAAGAGGTAAGTCATGATTGCCTTTGTCAAGAGAAAGTGTTCCAAGAATAAGGACACAGTGAGATGAAGATCTAAACACCTGTTCTGGCTGAGTAGGGATACAGGAAATGTATTCAGCAATCCTATGTTAAAAAAAAAAAAAAAAAAAAAAAGGCATGGATTTGTATACCACAGTGTAAAGCAATGTAGAATTTAATAGGATGTATGGTGTTGCTCTGATGGATGAGAATGCTGTCAAGAAGAGGAAGGGAAGGAATTAAGAGCTTTGTTTAGTCAAATTGTGCATGAGCTAATAACTATAAACCTAGGAGTTATTATTGGAAGAAGACGACAGAACTTCAGTTAGGTTATTATTTCTGCAGTGAAGCTGACCTTCAGATATGTAGTCTTTTCAGGCATTGGTACTTATGAATGAAAAGTGTAATCTTGTTACACCAGAGGGTGAATCCGTGAAAATATAAATGGACTATCTCTTCAAGAGAAGTAATAACAGTAAGGATGAAGAGAAAAGGAAAAACTAGCAGAGAAATGAGATAGGAAAACAATGAATCTGTGGGAGAGGAGTGGGTATAAAGTAAGTGGACCATGAAAATGTCATGAGTAATTCAATCAGCACTTTTCAGGGATATAATAGTAAGACATTTCCCTTCAAAATGAGACAAAATGAAGACAAAACAAAGCTTAGACTTGACAGACTTTGTGTAGTATGTCAATGGCAGAGTGAAGAACTGGTTTCAGATCTTATTTCCCCGTGCTGCAGTCTGTCCAAACAATAGCAGCATATGATAACTATGAAATACTGTAGGGAGAAAATGTGCTAATAAGGTATTTTTCTTCATTCAAGAATAGCAGGAGGGGTAAAATATTGATGAGTCAAAAATAAACAGTGAAATGTGAAAGTAAAAATAAGGATAATTACAACAATTGCAGTTATTAATGGATGTTTAACTCTCCAAAGTCAGAACAAATGACAGTAAAGTTCACTGGGTATGTGTATATTTGGAATGTTTGTGAGGGTGAATTGTGATAGAACAAGGGGGAATGGATTTAAACAGAGACAGGGGAGCTTTGGTTGGATATCAGTAGGAAGGTTTTCACACAGAAGGTGGTGACATGCTGGAACAGGTTGCCCAGGGAGGTTGTGGATGCCCTGGAGGCATTCAAGACAAGGCAGACAAGGCTGGATGTGGCTCTGGGCAGCCTGGCCTAGTGATTTGTGACCTTGCTCATGGCAGGGGAGTTGAAAATAGATGATCTTTGAGGTCCTTTTCAACCCAGGCCATTCTGTGATTCTATGATTTCAGCGCATAAATCAAGTCCTGCTGGCGTGCTCTCATTGAGACATGGCTCAATATTTTGAAGACTGAAATGTTGAAAGGACTTGGTTATGTGCAGGCAGAAGAGAGGTCTCCATTAGAATGTACCTTTTTGTATAACAAGTAAATGGTGGTTTCAGGTGGTCTCACGTGAGCGGGGAGGATCAGTCCCTTTAGTGCAGCTGTGAAATTATCTTGATCAGTTGCTGCAGCTGGGGATAAAAGCCTGCCTTCCCACAGGCTTGTCACCTTCTGTATCTTTGGATTACGAATTCGTTGATTACTCACAGTATCTGGAACTGTAATTTAGTTTAACGTATTTTTGGACTATTTCAGAAGGGTAATATAAACAATAGAGACAATTTTCTATACTTATATTCATGAAAAACTAAAGGGCTGAAAACAGTGTTCAGTCTTGTGACAGAAGTCTGAACATCTCTATAGAAATGTGTGCATTCTTGAAGGCACTTTGTTCATTTAAGTTTTGAATTAACGCTGGATCTTGAGTGAAATGTACTGGATTTTGATTCAGATATAGAAGAAGCTTGTAACTGAATATTTACCTACTTAGTGTTGCATTTTCACTAATCCACAAGGGAGAGTTTGTGTAAAGTTATAGCCTTTGCTTTAAATTGCTATGGATTTTACTATCTTGCTAATGAAGGATGATGAGCAATGCAAGGATTTTTATGTTCGTAAACCTTTCAACCCCGAAATGCACAGCTCTGCAGCATCCTGAATGTTTTATCAGCCTACTCTCAAGCCTTCTTTCATCAACGCAAGATGATTAAGCAGACAAATTTCTCATACTGAAAGCAATATCTCTAGCTATTTGTTCTCTAGAGACCAGTATCAATCCAGAGCTGTCCATGTGATGCCAAATAAAATTTATGCAAATGATTCATCTGTATTGAGAAATTAATTATTTTATATCTTCAGTTTTTCTAATTCACTTCTTGTACTCATTAGACTACTTAGATCAAAAGAAAGGAAATATTCAAGGATGCTTTTCATAAGACATAATTTTCTCTTGAATGATAATGACTAACAATATGATTGCCCACCTCTAAAATATATTGTGAATGTCTCTTCTATATGTATTATACTGATAATTAGTCTGTTCTGGATTCTATAGTTGGTGTGTACAAACCTTTCATACTTCTGCATTTAATATGGATTTTGCCCAAGAATATGGATTTATAATGCTTTTTTTTCTAGTGCATCAATATTTTCAAAAGTTTACTTTCGCAAAAATTTCTTTAACAACATTCAAGTCAATCCTTGTTTTTTTCTTGTACCCGTAGATCATTGGTGCATAGACAACCCGATGTGAAGCACTGTGGTGAGGTATAGACTATTTCTACATCCAGAGTGAGTGAAACTCTACCAGAATTGCTTTAATTATACTGATGAGGACCTCTGAAGCTCACACCTCATAAATTTAACTGGAGTGTGGTATACCTAAAATACCTTTGATAAGCTGAAATATATCTGACCACTGTGAACCACTCTCTAGAAACTCTTTATTTTCATTTCAACTTTCCCAGTTTGTAGTGCATTCTGGAGTCTTAACAGTGAAATGTATCATACTGCTCAAGCTGTCCAAAATGTTTTTTCTAGTCAGTAGAAAGAAATATGTATGTGGATTCAATAAGACTGATTCATGCCAGATTCTCCCAGAGTTTGTAACAAAGAAAAGTAGTTAAGCATCTTTCTCTTCACAGACTGCTGGGTGACTAGCTCAAATTTTGGTGTTCAATTTCTAATGTGTAGGGTAAGATCGTTATATCTAATTTAGCTGTATCTTTATTTTGTTCAGAAGAGCCTATTTTCTATAGCATTTCTCTCATGTAGTCTTTCTCCAAAAGCATAACATAATAAACGTGTAATGTTCTTTTGGTGTTACAGGAAGAAACGTCTTTTTTGAATCTGAGAGGTTTAAGTTTGATGGGGTACAGAAAAAAAATATCAGCTGAAATCTGAATACAGAATAGAGAATCTTAATGAATGACAGTGGAGATTGGTCTGAGTGAAAGGGACTCTACAGATGTATTTCTCTTTCCAAGGAAGAGATGGAAAAGGTTAGCAATGCATTTCCCCATAGTGGTTTAACAGTGCTTCCTTAAATGTTACTTGAAACAGTATAACATATGCATTTTGCCTAAAAGAAAACAAGCTTAATGTAATAATAATGTTATTAACTTCTATTCAACTCAACTATGTTGCGACTTCTGAAGATGTTTCTGAAAAACTCGTAGGTTTTACTTTGACACAGAAAATTGGTTGTCCCAAAGGGAGTTGTTCTATATGATTAAATGCAAATTTGCATGATTTGTCAACAATACTTAAAATGTCACTTTCTTCTCCAACCG